CTGTGTGGTCAATTATGTTCGTACAAACCAATCGTGAGGTAAAGATGGCTGGATACATCGGCCAAATTCTTTTGGGCGTATTTATGGACCGTGACAAAGTCGAGGACGATAAAAATGCAAAAAAACGAATGAGGCCAATATCCATTTGTCTTGGTCAATAAAGGATTTATTACATGGCCATTAAAATAACTTTCTTGAGGGACCAACGCGGGAAATCCCGAGCGGGAAGGAAGGGCTCATCTTGCCCACTTGAGTAGCCAATCAGAACGCACTATTCACTTCATCTTGCCCGCAGGCGGATTCAGCCATATAACTATGAGCAATTATTGAATGAGCCTGAGCATGATGTGAAGAATAGACATTATTCACGATACCCGCTATCTTTGCACGCGCTTTAGAATTGATGGGATAAAAGCAATGTTACGTCGTAATTTAGGGAGCAAACAAAGGGTAAAATTTGCCAATGCGAGAAATCGCGGTCGACTTTGTTTATCCTCTCAAAACGAAACGGCGATTTAATAGTCACGCAAAATGTACGGTTTGAGTTTCGACAACATTAACGTCATTATTCCTTGCTGTGAGGACATCTGTGGTTTCCACGGCGTTAAAAAAAGTAACAATGGTCACTTCGACCCATATAAAGTTGTCATTATCGTCTTTGATATAAAAATTTGTTCATTTTCTATTGCCAAGAGTAAACAAACTCGACTGCGATTTCTTGTATTGGAAAAATTTATAACTTGTTTGCACCCCTGAGAAACCACGTGACATCGCTTTAATCTCATTAGTCCTTAAGCGCATGCAAAGATGGCGGGCATCGTGAATAAGGTCAATTATGCAGATGGAGGAGGATGTTATCCAACGGGGCTGAAGGCCAAGGTTATTAACATCCTCCGAGATTATACCATCGAATCGATGGTGTGTTACTCGCATCTTCCATGTACGGTGAACGGTTATGAAGCATTAGCCGGGAAATTGGCCACTTCCGAGTTCCAAAAACCCTCACTTTCAAAATGAGGCTAGGCTAGGTGCACAACCTTACTTGTGAAAAATGATTTCCATAACAAAGGCTGAGCACCTACCCTCGTTTTGAAACAGAGGCCCCGGGGGAACTCGGAAATGGCCTATTGGAGCCAATCAGAAAGGGCGAAATATTTTGAATGAATAATAATGTGAGTTAATGAGCAGCCGCCTTTTTCGTCGGCATTTGCTCAAATAAGCGCCCACACCCTTACATTAGCCCTCCCTGCAAGCCCCATTCGTTACTCACTTTTAAAAAATTAATCTTTGTCTACACTGCCATCAATACGGTGATAGCACTTTCTTGTACGTTACCAGTTCCAGCCGCCAGCACTGTCTCAAATGCTAAAGGATTTGCGGTATCTCCGAAAATGTTATTTCAGTTTGTTGTAGAAAAAGCTTTACAAGTTTACCGAGAATAAGATTCCCTTGTTTCTGGCCCCCTTATTTTTATAATTAAGAATTATCCCTGCCATCCCCTAGCGCTTTGAGTAAAATTATTACGGTGTAATAAAAATCGTACTGGCCTCATTAGGGACAGCTAGTCCCATAGGTTTAATTAGCAAAATAACAAGCCTGCACGTGCAGCACACCTTTTTTGTACATTTCTTTACGGTAACTGCACGCGGACTGCAACGTTAAAATGCCTAATTACACGAATTATGGAGGACGTAAACAAGCCATGAAGAAATCGTCTTCGTTCTGTTGAATTTGGATATGGTTCTTAGGAATTCAACTCCAGGTGAGTTCTCCTACATTAAAGAAAGTACGTGAGATGGAATAATCGCGGTAATAATAATAACTTTATTTATTTCCAAGTCTGGTTTTTTACAGTAATTACATCAACATTATGACGACAAGTACAAAAGATTAAAACTATATATTCACAAGATTTTAACAAAACCTAAATAACAAATCTCTCCGTTACTAAGACAAAAGTAAGCAAGCCCTGTCCTAGAGTGACTTTACTTGAACCGTGAATCAGATACATGTACCAAATAGCAGAATACAATGCAATTCTACTACCTATTTCACGGATCAAGTACAAACACTCTAACAGAATAGACTGTTTACTGAGACGATTTTAAATAATATAATGCATAAGTTCCTTCTCGAAGAATCAGCCGGAAGAATGTCACATTGTTTGTTAACTTAGTGTGCCTTTCGGGTAAAACGTTCCACAATGAAGCGGTCCGATAATGAAAAGAATTTTGGCCTGCGGCAGTTCTGACAATCTTTTTCTTGTTACACGTGTCTCTGCCGTTGAATTCAGACCTCGCCGTTTTAATTTTTTTGGCCAGTCGGGAGCCAATCCCCTTAAGTATTTGAAAGCCAGTATGCCATGTCTGTAGACAAGCATGGACTCGACAGACAGATATTTTACTTCTCTAAGACCAGGGGTGATGTGATCAAATTTACGCGAACGGGTTACGATCCTAGCTGCGAAGTTTTGAACAGTCTGTAATTTACTGATATTCCTATTCGTGGAACTAGACCTGACAGAGGAACAGGAGTAGAGTTTGCTAAAGACTAGTGCATTGATAAAGTTTGATAAAGTGTTTGTGTCTAAAAGATGTTTTACCTGGCTTTGATTTGTCATTATAAACTCGATAAACAAGAAGATGAACTATTTTTTGTAGTCATCAAAACTCAATGTATCATCCATATGCACTCCAAGGTACTTCGCCGAAGGAACTGGACGCCACTCTTTTCCCAGTTAAGTAACATGTAAATCCAAGTCTCAAAGCACATTTTGCAGCTTTTGACGGGTACCAATTTAAAGCAATTTCGTTTTATTAGGGTTGATTCGAAGGCTAGTGTTTTGACTGCACTATGAGGCAACCTTCTTCAGGTCTTCGGTTATTTGTCGAGCAGCGCCATCGATGTCCTTGTCCTTGCCCTTGACTGAGAATGATGACTTGGAATCATCCGCTAAGTAGGATTCAAAGGGGCAGTAATTTGGAACGCCAAGCAAATCGTTGATGCACACATTAAATAAGGCAGGTCCCAGAATGGGTCCTTGTGGAACTCCGTCTGTAGATTTACGCATCCCGGACATTTCAGAGCCAATTCATACGTACTGCTGGCGATCATGCATGTAGGTCCCGTATCTCTTAAACCATTCTAGATGAAGATTGACAAAGAGCGAATTCACTTTTAAATCAACGTTTTCCCTGCCGTCGTTGTCCTCGGATCTTAAGGTCCTTATTTTCACAATAGTCACTGCAAAATAAGGATCTTTTTTTTTCGTCGGATTTATAGCCTGCTCGCTATATTGTTCTTGGGCCATGAATTTGAGAGGAAAAACTCGGTCTGTAACTTTCAGTACGGACAACGAACCCGTGTAGAAGTAAGAGGCCTATTTATCTTCACGCTGGGACCGTGCATATAACGAGGAATACTCTAACAGCTTAAAACAAACAACCAAGCAAACAACAACAAAAAAAGACAATAAGGCCTTCTTCATATACTCATGATACCGGATAGTTATCCGGTATAGTATGAACATCTATCCGATACTTGACTCTCCTTTTTAGAGATCGGGGCCCAGGCAGCTGGTCGCTCCGTTACAGAAATCGAGCCGGAATGACCGTTTTTATACCGTTTTTATACGGTATGGCTTTCGTGCCGGCGCAAAAGCTTTCCGGTATAGTTTGAACATAGCCTAATTGTTCCCAAGGTTTAGAGCCAGAACTCTTCTAATACTGTTGACAATCAGTTGCCCTTTATCAATCGTCTATAAATATACAATAAATTTAAACATGCATTACCTATTCATCTCAGCCCAAAAAGTTAGACTTGCTATCAAAGGAATGTTAAAAAATATATCCAAAACCACTATGAAGGAGGAAAAGGGAAAGGATCAGATCGGTTTGACTCATTTTAAGAAACTAAAAGGTTTGTCGGTATATCAAAGGCTGTCAATGGAATAGCCTGCGTAGCAGGCGTTTCCGCTCGAATTCTTGCACGAAAACTTGGAGCGACAAAAAAAAAATGGTATTACAGTCAACTCTCTCTTAACGGACACCTCTATAAGATGGTCACCTCTGTAAAACGGACACCTAGAGCTAGTCCCTGCTATTCTTTACTCCCCTTATTTGACTCTCTATAAGACGGGCTTCTCTCTAAGACGGATACATGGTACTGGTCCCAAAGGTGTCCGTCTTAGGGAGAGTTGACTGTAAACTCGAGCGGAAACTCTTGCTACACAGGTTATTACACTGTTATAGGACTGAAAGGCAATAGTACAGAGTATGTTTCTAGGAATGAGTGGAGTCCAATGTTTTCTCTTGATTGTACGAGTGATTAAATACCCCCAAGGGACTTCCGTATGAAAGTGACGGGGACGCCCTCCCTGGTAATAGACCTTATTCACGATACCCGCCATC